CAGCACTGGAAGAAAACAGAGAGAAATGCGTTTGAAGATTACAAGGAAATGGGTGATTTTCCAAATAGAAATCTTCAAAATAGACTCAAGGATAGAAATCTTGACTAGGTCAGTGAATATGTGAGAAGGTTCCCAAGAAGAATTCCACCTGATCACCAGTTCCAGGGCCAGATGTTTTTATTGGAAAATTTTTTGTTTTGTTTTGAGACAGAGTTTCGGTATCTACTTTAAGTTAGTCTTGACCTCACTATGTAACCCAGGCTGGCCTCACTCTCACGGGGTGATCCTCCTGCCTCAGTCTCCCCAGTGCTTGGATTATAGGTGTGGGCTACCAAACCCACATTTGGCAAATACCAAACCCTGCTATGGGCAAATGTTTTCAGTTTCCAAGGAACAAATAATGATCTATGATATATGTTGTTACTACATACAGAAAAAGGTGATAAACAACTTCCTTGTTAATATAAACCAGCTGTGGCGGGGCAAACTTGTGGTCTCAGCACTGCAGAACCTGAGGCAGGAGGATCACCGTGAGTTTGAGGCCAGCCTGGGCTACTTAGCAAGACCCTGCCTCAACAAAGGAGAAAAAGAAAAAAAGACACCTGTATAAGGGGCTGGAGATTTAGCTCAGCAGCACAGCGCCTGCCTGGCAAGTGCGATGTCGTGAGTTCGATTGCCGGTACCGGAAAAACAACAACAACAAAAAAAAGAACTCAGAAAAAAAGACACCTGTATAAGGGGCTGGAGATTTAGCTCAGCAGCACAGCGCCTGCCTGGCAAGTGCGATGTCGTGAGTTCGATTGCCGGTACCGGAAAAACAACAACAACAAAAAAAAGAACTCAGAAAAAAAGACACCTGTATGCACTGACCCAAAGCATGCTGAGACGGTTTAGTGACTCCTGTCATATTTTGTGGAATCTGAGAAGCTGTAGATGATAAGCCACATCACTGTGTTGCCATGCTAGGGAAACAGTACTGCCAATGTAACCAAAGAGTACTTGGGATTATAAAATGGATTTGTTAAGGGCATGGTGGCTCATGCCTGTAATCCCAAATCCCAGCACTTGGGAGGCTGAGGCAGGAAGATCTTTTTGAGTTTTGAAGCCAGCCTGGGCTACAAAGCGAGCTCAAGGCCAACCTGAACTGCTTGGTGAGACCCTGTCTCAAAAAGACAAATAAATTAAAAAAATGGGTTTGTTTTCTAGGATGTTAAATTTGAAGTACACATTCATCTAAAGTTGTATTTATGGATTTTTTTTTTGAGACAGTATCTCACTGTGGTTCAAACTGGCCTCGAACTTGCTGTGTGACCCAGGCTGACCTCAGACTCCTGCCTCAGCCTCCCAAGCCCTAGGATTACAGGTTTTCACTACCATGCCTGGCTCACATTTATCTAAGATTTTACCACATGCAGTATGTACGTTAGCATCTCGCAGGAAAGTAGATGTGAAAAACTGAAGTCAGTTGTAAACAAATAGTAAATTAAAAAGCGAGACCATTGTGCCCATGTGTATTTTTCTTTTTTTTTATTCCTTAAAAAAAAATTACTGAGTCTGCCAAGAAAATACAAAAACATAAGGCTGTATGTGAATAGTAGTAGTGTTTAGGCTATTACAGCACAAAGGTTATCCTCAAGGCCACAGACATCCTGCTTCACTGCAGCTTGCACTCTGCTAGGTTTTGATCCTTCTTTGGGTCATAGTCTGGATCATTTTCCTCATCTCCTTCTTCCCATTCCTCATCCACTTCTTCACTTTCTTCTTCATCATCATCATCATCTTCAACGGCTTCTCCAGTGAAGTACAACACTGATCTCAGGATTATACGTTCACGTAAAAAGTGACCAATGTCAAAGTCTGCAGCCAGGGTAGCTTCAGCATCATCATCCAGATCTCCACTCTGAGGAACTTCAGGAGGAGCAAAAAAAATTAAAGAAAGAGTCAGTGGAAACTGTTTTAGTCTCAGTACGAACTGTCCCATATCCCTTGTGTTTCTGCCTCTTTTTAACGGTTTTCAAAGTGACATTCTTTCCTTTTTTCCAATCTGTGTGACACCCTGTACAGCCCATAATTTCTGGTCCATCAAACGAAAAGGGATCAGAATCACCTGGTTCAGATCTCATCTTATATGTCTTTGTCAACACTTCATTCGAGAAATATTCATTGGGTTCAAAGTGAAATTCTAAGGTAAAGCTCATAGGCTGGCCAGCGTCTGAGGGTTTCACTTTAATGTCCTTCAGATGTTTCAGAATAGGTTCATCACGTTCCTGAACCATGTCACTGAGCAAGTCAACATTCTTAAAAACAGTCAGCCAAAATTCAGGAATTCCTTTAAGATCTTCTTTTTCTTCATCCTTTTTCTCATCTTTAGTTTTGGCCTTTTCTTTCAGCTCCTCCGAAATTTCACTGTCTTCATCTGGTTTCCATTCACGCTTCTCTTCCGTAGGTTCATAAATTGCATTACTGATCTCAAATTGCTTATCAAATACAGGTTGGTAGAGAACAGCGTACTTCCTTTCAAGATCATGAACTTCCTCGTAGAGTTTTGCTTCTGTCTGTACACATGTAACGTGAAGGTTTTTGAGAGCATTCACTCTGCTTTTAACTGCCCTAGGCAAGCTTTCAGTGTATCCTGTCGGTGTGTCTACCAGACAGACCATCCGGCCTTTCTTGAAGGGCTGCAAGAATCTGAGGATTTTGCACCATCTGAAGTCGGCTGACCTGCTTTGATTTTTGCTCCTTCGCCAGTTTCTCCTACTTCTTCAGCATCAGCCAAATCTTGATCACGTTCAGACTGTGCTTTGCTGTCAGTGTCTGCATGGTGTGTGTAAGAGCTCCAGATACCAGCGGCCGGTTCGGGGAGTCGGGGGCCCGAGCTGTGCCGGGAGTGACTCTGGCGGCCGCGACAGCGGGAGGAGCGGGAGGCGGCACCTCAAGCAGGTGGTGCTAAAGCTATTTTTCATCTGGGCGCGGAGGCTGAGGCAGGAGGATCATTGCGAGTTCAAGACCAGGCTGGGCTACAAAGTGAGTTCAAGGCCAGCCTGAACTGCATAGCGAGACCCTGTTGCAAAAAGAACAACAACAACAAAAAAAGCTATTGTTCTTTGTTTCACATTAGATTTTACTGGTATATTTTAGATATACATAACAATCACATGGGCTGTTTCACAGCACACCAGGAGATTCTCTTGTCAGGCGCCAAGGAGGCAGTTGGCAGTGTTCAGTGCCCGAGTCCGATTAAAAGCTTTTTTATAGCTGTTGGTGCAGCTCAGTGATGGAGCTCTTGCATGGCCTGTGAGGCTCTGGACTTGATCCCCAGCACTGCTGAAAAAAATATTAATGAAGCTAGTCTGGCTACTCAGGAGGTTGAGACAGGAGGATTACTTGAGCCCCAAAGTTCGAGGTAAGCCTGGACAGCATGGTGAGACTATCTCAACAACAGAAAGAGTTAGCGGAAGATTACTTCCTCAGTATGATGAAACGTACAGTGCCTAATCTGTCAGTCTCCTTAACAATGAGAAGGTAAAAACCTGAGAGCAGAGGTAGAATATTCTTTTTATAGTGCAGAAAATAAGTTGTTTGAAGATGATAGGTTTCATACCCAGAAAGGGTGGAAACTACTGAGAAAGAGACTGTATTTAAGAGTTTCATTATAGTCAGGTAAGTTAGTGCACACTTGATTTGTTTTGCTTTGTTTTTTGTCTTTTTTGAGACAGGGTCTCGCCAGGCAGTTCAGACTGGCCTTGAGCTCCTGTGTAGCCCAGCCTAGTCTCGAACTCACAATGATCCTCCTGCCTCAGCCTCCCGAGTGCTGGGATTACAAGTGTGTGCCACCACACCCAGCTTGCACACTTGAAATTCCAGTTACTCCAGAGGCTGAGGCAGGAGGATTGCAACTTCTGCCTGGGCAACTTAAAAAGACCCTGTCTCAAAATAAAATAGTTAAAAGGACTGAGGATGTAACTCAAGTGTTAGAATGCTTGCCTGTTACGTGTGAGGCCCGGGTTCAGCGTAGCACCACATCCACACACAAACACACACACCGATCGTGGTTGGCAGTGGCACTAAACAAGCAGGCACAGCGGTGTCTCCGGTGTCTCTGATGACAGCGGTGGGAGAGGGTGGAAAGGAGGGGTGCAGGGTGATGTCCTTTGGTTGGCCTCCAGCATAGGGGATTTAGGGGGACAGTCCATCCTGCCATGGGCCCCAGGCCCTGTGCCCGGTGGGGCTCATGCTGAGCAGTTCTGGGGGGGCTGTGATACAGGCTGGCGTGATTTGTCTTCCTCTGTGCTGGCTTCCGGTCCAGGTAGGAGTGTGGATTGATGCTGGCAGCCGTTTCGAGACTGAGAAGAACAATGGCGTGGGCTACCTGCTCGAGCACCTGGCTTTCAAGGTGAGGCTCAGGAAGTTGGTGTCTCCATGGGCTTAGGGCTTCCTGTTTTAAGAAGGAAGGTCAGAAGAATGAGCCTCCTGAACACCAGCCTCAGCTCGGGAGTGACTGCTGGCTGGCCTTTCCGGAAGGAGCCGTGTGGGCCCGGCCTCTTCTGAGTGGAGCTTCTACATGAAGTCCCCAAAGCCACGAAAACCCAGGGGCGGCAGGAGCCCACCTAGCCTGAGGGCAGCTGGCCCACGTCGTGTGCATGCCTGCACGTGGGCTCGCGGAACTTAACACGCACACACGTGTGCCCTGCATGACGTGCAGCAGAGAAGTGCGTCTGCTTGTGGGGTGTCTGCGGTGGGATCTGTGCACCTGATTGCAGAGGACGTGTGTTTATAAGTGAACGGACACAATGGGCAGGAGGGTGTGGGATCAGCGGAGTTGTGGAGCCGGAACAGGCAACCCAGATGCTCCAGTGTCGCGTGTGCACGCGTGTGCATGAGTTCATGCCGTGAGATGGTGCACAGGACAACGCCCCTACCGCTGCGCACACGGGGCTGCGGCGGGTCCCCCAAGGTACTGCGGGCAGATGCAGAGTCCCGTCCGTGGCGTGGCTGGGCATAAGTTGCATCACTTGAACACAGGGCCTGGGCCCCTCGTGTCCGGGGGCACGGACTCCGGGCCCCGCGTCCCCACAGTTGCTGCAGAGGGAGCACTGGCGGACCACTTGTGAGGACAGGCTGCCCTGCTGTCTGGTTCTAGGGAACGAAGAACCGGCCTGGCAGTGCCCTGGAGAAGGAGGTGGAGAGCATGGGGGCCCACCTTAACGCCTACAGCACCCGGGAGCACACCGCCTACTACGTCAAGGCGCTGTCCAAGGACCTGCCGAAGGGTAAGAGCCTACTTCAGGGCGTAGGGAGAGCCTCCCAGGAGCCCCAGGCCAGCCGCAGAGTGGGGCTGTCCCCGGGGTGTGGCCTCGTGGCGGAGTGGGCAGCCGAAGACGCCAGGCTCGGGGTGATGTGCGGTTGTTGGCGCCTGCTGGGCCCCTCAGCGTGTGTCCCTGTGTCCAGTTGTGGAGCTCCTGGCTGACATCGTGCAGAACTGCAGCCTGGAGGACTCGCAGATTGAAAAGGAGCGCGACGTGATCCTGCAGGAGATGCAGGAAAATGACGCCTCCATGCGGGACGTGGTCTTCAACTACCTGCACGCCACGGCGTTCCAGGGCACCCCGCTCGCCCAAGCCGTGGAGGGGCCCAGCCAGAACGTGAGGTGAGCCTGCCCGAGCGGGCGCTCCGGCCAGACCTCCTCTTCCAGGGCGTGTTGAGGTGGCCGCTGCCGGTGCAGTTTTGTGATGGACGAGTGGGACCCAGGCTCCGTGTTAGCGTCTGTCCCTGTGAGCATTCTTTTTTGTAGCAGCTGTGTCGTGCTTACCTGAATCTTGGGCTTCGCTTCGGGGTATCTTTCTGCCTGCATCTTGACAGTCTGGGTGTCCCTCTGCGTTGCTTCTTGTTGCCTGGGTAGTTGGGCCCTGCTCCAAAAAGACAGTCGCACTGTCAGCTCCCGCCCTCCTCAGACAGGAGCCAGAGGAGGGTGGCAGCAGAGATGGGGGAGGAGGACCCATCGAGGCTCTACCAGGGCTGGCTCTTAGAGAAACCAGGCCTCTTTCCAGCTCCATGTTTTTCTTTTCTTTTCTTTTTGAGACAGGGTTTCACTATGTAGCTCAGGCTGGGCTCAGATTCACAGCAGTCCTCCTGCCTCAGCCTCCCGAGTGCTGGGATTACAACAAGCAGTTTTTTTTTTGTTGTTTTTTTTTCCGGTACCGGGAACCGAACTCATGACCTTGCGCTTGCCAGGCAGGCGCTTTGCCGCTGAGCTAAATCCCCAGCCCCCCGAGTGCTGGGATTACAGGCGTGTGCCACCACATCTGGCTTTCAGTTCCATTCTGGGTGGCCCAGCTTGCTGTAGGCTGGGGACGCTGACGTGTTGGCCGCGTGTCTTGCAGGAAGCTGTCCCGCGCGGACTTGATGGAGTACCTCAGCAGGCATTACAAAGCCCCGCGCATGGTGCTGGCGGCAGCCGGGGGTGAGTGAGGGTCTGCTTGAAGGCCTGGGCGAGTGGACCCCAACCTGGGTTATCCAAGCCCAGCTCTAACTATCAGGGGATCCTGTCCTTGAGAGGAGTGACCTCTCTCCTCTGTCCCTAGGTGGGGTCAGCTTCTGCCCTCCTGCCACTCCTGGGACTGGCCACACGGGCACTGTCCCTCAGGCTGCTGACCCCACCCTCCCCGCCCAGCGGGGCCCAGGCCTCTCTTAGCCCCTCCTGCCCCCTGTCCTGGAACGTGGGCACGTGTGCATGCTCTGCCCACACAGCCCTGGCCTGGCCCGTGGCCGTGCCGTGGCGAGGGCCGGCGCTGGCCGTGGGATGATGGGCTGGGAAATGTGCTGGAAGGAGTGCAGGGCGGCAGGGCAGTGCTGAGGGGGCCCCGGAGCTGGAGGGTGTTGGAGCGTGTGACGTTCGGGCCTGAGCAGGGCCAGGGGGGCAGGAGGGTGTGGTCCCACGGGCCGGGCCGCTGGCGGAGGGAGGTCGGTGCTCCGGCGGGGGCCCGCTGAAGGCTTGCCTGCAGTGGCGCAGAGCAGACGCGGGCACTCACGGGCCGGGCCGGGCCGGCTGGTGCTCTAGGTGGAAAGAGCCTGATGCGGGTCTGGGTGTGGGTCGGGGAGCAGGCTCCAAGACGCCTCCTTCCTGCTTACGGCCTGGACAGCTGCATGGTAAAAATAAAATGAAACAACAAAAACTGACCAGAAGAGCAGGTGGGACTTTGGAGCAGGGAACCTTGGGGCCAAGAGGAGGTCAGGTTACTGCTACCTCGGGGGCATGGACTCCTAGCAGGGCTGGGCAGGATGTCCACGGGCTGGCACGAGGTGTCCCAGGCGCCGGGCTGCAGAGGCCTTTTGTGCAGTGAGGGAGGAGGTCTGGCAAGGGCTCTGAGGGCAGGATTTTGCAGAACTGACCTAAATGTTCCCACCGCTCGGAGCCCGGAGCACATGGCCGACCTGGGTATCCCTTGTGCTCTCCTGCCGCCCCTGGGGGGCAGTGCCCAGACCTGCCTGTGGTAGGGCTTGAGCAAGGTCGCAGCCAGGTGGCCGTGTGCGCAGAGAGCACCAGGGTTGGCCTGGACGCAGGTGAGATGCACTTCCCGGCTGGGAATCGGCATTTGATGCTGTTTTCCTCCTGTGCCTGACATCTGGGAGCTGTTTGACCCCCAGGTGCTTGTCCTGCTATGAGGCATGGTCTCTGGGGGTGACCTTCCCTCGTCTTGTCTCAAAGTCACGTCTCTTCTGTTGCTCCTGCTGAGATGGGACGTGAGGGTCCTGCGTCTGTGTGAGACCCCTGCCCCTGCCCTGTGCCGTAGCCTTGGCTGGCCAGTAACGCTGCTGCCTGCTCTGCAGGGGTAGAGCACCAGCAGCTGCTGGACCTTGCCCAGAAGCACTTCAGCAGCGTCTCCGCGACCTACCCCGAGGATGCCGTGCCTGCCCGATCTCCCTGCCGCTTCACTGGGAGCGAGGTATGCTGCAGGCGGCGGGGGTGGAGCTGGCAGCGGGGGACCTCTGGGAGGGCCCTCGTGTGCACGGTCATCCTGAGGTCCAGAGACTGGGGAGGGATCTTGGGGCTGCGGCCTCTCAAACACCAAACACACGCTTTAACGAACTCGTGCCTATGCATGCCCTGCCCACACCAGCCGCCCTTGGTCCACCCAGGTGGTCTGGCTGCCCCTCAGCCTTGGCTCGCACTGTTTCAGATCCGCCACCGTGACGATGCCCTGCCTTTGGCCCACGTGGCCATTGCAGTAGAAGGACCCGGCTGGGCCAATCCCGACAACGTCGCGCTGCAGGTGGCCAATGCCATCATTGGCCACTACGACTGCACTTACGGCGGGGGTGTGGTGAGTGCTGGGGCCGGCGCAGGACTTGCCTTCAGCGGGGAGAGGGAGGGGAGGCAGGCGACGTCCTCCTTGGCTTTGGACGCAAGATGCTGACTGTCTCCGGCCCTGGCAGCACCTGTCCAGCCCGCTAGCTTCAGTGGCTGCGGCCAAGAAGGTGTGCCAGAGTTTTCAGACCTTCAACATCTGCTACACAGAGACGGGGCTGCTGGGGGCACACTTCGTCTGCGACCGCATGAGCATCGACGACATGATGTTCTTCCTGCAAGGCCAGTGGTGCGTGCCGGCGGGCCTGCTGGGCGGTCGGGGCCTCGTGCAGGGCGGAGGGAGGCTGGGGCAGCCGCACTCTCATAAGAGTGAGCACCGCTGCGCCCCGCCCCGCCTTAGGATGCGCCTGTGCACCAGCGCCACGGAGAGCGAGGTGACTCGGGGCAGAAACATCCTGCGGAATGCCCTGGTGTCTCATCTGGACGGTGAGTCCTGCAGCCTTGTGACAGGTCCTTGTAGTCACTCCCGGACAGCCCTAGTGCGGCCCCCGTCCTGGCCAAGGTTGGGAAGGCAAACACTGGAGTCCTGCCCCCCTCCATCCACACACCTGGGGGTTTGGAGCTCCAGGTGTGGGTGGGGGCGGCCCCGGTCACGAGTGGCCAGCTGTCAGGGTGAAGGTTCTGGTCTGGGGTCAGCAGGGCCCTGCAGGTCCTGGTCAGCGGGGCTTGTGTGTCTGTGGGTCGAGGGTTGGACTGGGCAGGCCTCTAAGCCTTCCCCCGACTCCCAAGGCACCACTCCTGTGTGTGAGGACATCGGACGCAGCCTCCTGACCTACGGCCGCCGCATCCCCCTGGCAGAGTGGGAGAGCCGGATTGCGGTAACGTGGGTCCCCAGGAGAGACGCGGGGGTCTTGGCCTGGAGAGACCTGCCACTGGGAGGGGTGGCCGGGACCTGACAGGGCAGAGCCTGCCCCCTGTTGTCCTCGGCAGCTGTCACCTGCAGGGCTGGTATAGTCAGGGCAGGGTGGCGGCGTCACGGTGTGGGCCTGGAGTGGCTGTGGAGACGCCCGCTGCCGTCCCTGTGTGAGCTGGGGGAGCGCTCTGTCAGCCGCCGAGGGCTCGCTGGCTGGGGTGGTGCCAGTGCCTGGAGGTCACGCGCCTTCTCCCTGCAGGAGGTGGATGCCCACATGGTGCGTGAGGTCTGCTCCAAGTACTTCTACGACCAGTGTCCGGCAGTGGCGGGATTTGGTGAGTGGCCAAGTCGGTTCTTTGTCTTCCCGAGCCACTGTCTAGCCTCCCCTTCCGCCTCTGCTCCCCGCCCCAGCCTGCCCTGAGAAGCACGCCGAGAGTCCCACGCTGAGGGCCCCACGCTGAGGGCCCCGCGAAACTTCCCCAGTAGCCCGGCTGCCAGGGAGTTCTTGCTCAGAAAACCTGCCCCAGCAGCTCCCTGCCTCCCTGCCAAGGGGCCTCCCTCAGTACCCCGCCCCGCCAGGTAACGGGCACCCGGGGCGTGGGGTGCAGCTCCAAGGGCCAGAGCGTGAAGGGACAGGCCGTGCCCCGCGGGATGTTCTCTTCCCTCTGTTCACTCAAAGCCTGTCTTGTGCGGTTCTGGGCAGCAGCTCCGAGCCGGTGCGGCACTGAGCCAGTCGTCCTGTGCAGGCCGGGCGCCGCACCCTCACGCCCCACCCTTCTGCCCCAGGCCCCATCGAGCAGCTCCCGGACTACAACCGGATCCGCAGTGGCATGTTCTGGCTTCGCTTCTAGGCAGCAAAAGCCTGTGCAGGCAGAAGGGTGGGGCTGGGGCGCCTGGTCCCCCGCACCAACATGCGCTCCAGCTCCTCCGACTGCAGCAGGGCAGCACCAATAAAGTGTCCTGCTGAGAAGTGTGCTGCCTTCCTTGAGCACTGGCACCGGGTCGTCTGGGCGGCGGGTGGGTCACAAGAGCTTCCTGCACTCTTACAGTCCCCGCGTCCTTCCGCCTTCCCCCGGGCTGCTGTGTCCTCAGCCAGGGGCGAGCGTGGGGGCTGCGGCACGCACAGGGCCTTTGATGCTTTGCAGGGGCTGGAGCCCAGATGTTTCCACTCAGCCGCGAGGGAAGCTCCCTAGCCAGCCTGTCCCAGGAGTGGGCCGTGGGCGGCCGTGGGAACTGCAGCCCCTGCTGGTGTCCTAGCCGGGGGGGTCCCCTCCTGGAGTCGGAGCGCTCACACAGACCCTGTAGAGTTGCCCCGGTGGGGAAGTCTGCTGGGCTGGGCCAGAGGGCCAGGGGCTACCCCTGAGAAAGCCGCCTTCCTGTGCGTGCTGGAGTCTGAGAGGACAGCCTGGGGCAGTGTTCTTTCTGCCACTGACTCAGGGTCTAAGAATAGCCCTGAGCTCAGTGGGGCCTGAGCCCCTTCCCTCGACCAGGCCTGTCCCTGCCACATCCTGAGCTGTTGGCCCCACGGTTCCCTCCCGCCTTCCTGAGGCAGTGAGAACCTAGCTGGCCTGTCCTGCACCCTTCGGG